AGGATGCTCCCACCAGGCCCAACTTCGGCAAACCATCCCCTGCGACGGGCTGTCCCCAGGGAGGCACCTGTGGCAGATGGGCTGTGAGGGGGCTGCGTTCCCTGGGACACCCTGCACCGGCGAGGTGGGGGGACCCACCGTGCTCAGAGAGGAGCAGCCGCCCGGGATGTCCCACCCGGGGGAAGGCTGTCCCCTGCCCGGGATGGGGAGGCAGAGCAGAGTGCCCTCGAAAAGTCTCCTGGCATCTGTGTCAGCCTCGGGGCTGTCTCTGGGCGCTGTACAGCATTTGGGGACTGGCTTATACATCAGAGGCTGGCTGCCCCAAAGGCTTGGGTTTAAAGTCTTGCCTTACTTGGCCTCAGTTTTTAAAGGATCACACAAAAATAATGCTTATTACAGGTTGGAGGGCAAAAAAAAGGAAAGACTGTGAGAGTGGAAAGACGAGAAGACCGGGGGTCACTCAATTTCCACCCATTTTCAGCTTGTTCTCAGCAAGTGCGTTACTTAATCGTTTGCCAATTAATTTTCCCAACATTTTATTAAACCCTTCCGTGTGTCTCCGAAGGGCTCTAGAGGGAGCCAAAAGCCTTTGAGAGGGAAGGGATGGGCTGCATGAATTTGTCTGAACCTCAAGTACACTGTTAAAACGAGGTGTAAAGCGCATTCAGCGTACACTGGGAACAGAATAAAGGCATTTTTTTCTCCCTGGAGGAACACTGTGAGTCTTAGTTTCTATATTTAATCCACTTAATATTTGGTTACAAGAATTCATATGATCATCAGTCACATGAGAGAAAAATCTGTCTCCTTTTCAGACTTATTTCCCAAAACACATATGTTTCATAAACAGCACAAGGTATGAGGCCAAGGAAAGGAAATCAGTGTCATGGTTATATTGGGTGAAAGGCTCAGAGCAGGATATTACCTTTCAAAATCTTTAATCCCCGTCGCACAGCCACAGGGAACACCATGCTCTTAATTTATCTTGGTCACTTGTAGTAGCTTTTGAGCCAAGCACATCATGATAGTGCCCTAGGGAACTTTTTTTTTTTTTTAAATCCTGTTTTGAATGTGAAGCTGCAAATACGGGTTCAGTGTCTTGGTGGGAATAAATCCATTATCTCTGTGAAAGACGGCAAGCTGTGGCTTTGCCAAAGCAGTCTTCTTGCAGGTGCAGGCCCTGTCCTTGTAAGCCAATTCACGCCCACAAGAGCCGTGGTGGGAAGTCGTTCTCCCCACGGGCACGTGCCGTTACCCCGCAGAACCCTGGGCTGTGGGTTTTGTGCCCTCATCGGTGTTATGGCTGTCACTGCTGCTGCAGCGGTCACATTTCCCCTCGGTGTGCTGAGCCGTGATGTTTGCCCATGTCAGGAGGCTCAGGGCTTTAGTGGAACAAGCTAACCCCCCCGGCTCACTTATACAGGTGATGGTGGGATTTTTTTTATCCTAGTTCTGGATTCTTCTGTTTTCCCATAGCTCAATTCACTTTACAGAATATAAAGGTCAGCCCCTGGTTGCTAGTCCCCGCGGGAGTTCCTTAACGAACTCCAGCACATCGTTTCCCTCCGTTCTTGACCAAACGTAATGAATTGCATCAAGATTGGGAATGAATAGGTGAGACACTGAGAGGAAAGAAAAGTTGGCCTCTCTCCCTGGCTTGCCTTTCCTGAAGTCCACGTGCCGGAACTGTCTTCTCTCCCTGGTGTGTTGCTTTTGTCCTTACACAGCTTTTAATCCCTATATAGAAGAACCAAAGTTTGCTTTGGGAACCTTTGTGGGTTTCAGAACTAATAATTGGGTTTGGGAGTTAATAATTCAGCTATAAATATACTTGTCATGTTATAGCTTGGCATGGTAATATCTTGGCTCAGGGATACTTTTGTTCCGTCCAAAGACTATTTATTATGTAAAATTCCCACAGGCACAAATATTAGAGAGCTTTCGTGACTCCCTTCAGGTGCAAGTTACCTCCCTACTTTTTCTTCCAGCAGGTCTAATTCCGTCTGTGCTAGTCTTGGATCAAGGCCTTTAGCAATTAGTTCCCTTGCCTGATCCTAGGAGAGCCCCCAGCGTTCCCACCCGTTGGCCTGGCGTGGGAGACTGCAGGATTATTTCTGTCCTTACTGCCTGCAGGTGGTTGCATTTCCCATTTCTTTCCCATTCTGACAGACAGCCACCTCAGAAATAATCCATTTTCTTCATTTCTTGGAACTACCCAAAGCTTCAAAAGTCGATGGTTGTTTTGACTGCCCCCGCTTTTAAGGCCTGAAAGCCCTCTAAAGAGGGCTGGTTCTCCACAAAGTGTCTTGGAACTCAAAAGCTGCTTCGTTACATCCAGCCAAAAAGTGGAAGCAGTTCAGGTCCACTGCTGAAAATATCAATGTGTGTTTGGCACAGCGTGCACACACACGTGAGCGAGGCCATAAACTTCATTACTGTAGGTCAGCTCTTCAGGTACAACTGTATCCAGATGACTGTTTAATGTTCTACTTTCGTTCGTTCCTTAATTACAAAGCTTACTTAAGACAAAAACCAATACCAATGGACAATAAAATCTGTGTCTTTGGCAGGCTTCCCTCTACTGTCCAGTAAGAAACCTGGGCTACACTGGAAGGACAGCTTGGCCAGCCATCACAGTGGTCCTGGAGAGGATTGCTCCCAACCACAGGTATGAAGGGAAGGAGAATTGTGCAGAGCAAAACGAGTGTAGCTACTGTTGGGGCATGTCTGCTCTCAGCAGGCTGTCTGAGCATCCTCTCCTCTTCCAAATAGTTTTGGTCCTCATAGTAATCACTGAAGTTGGAGTTAGGCCTGTGCTGTACATAGGGAAGAGACTTTGATGCTCTGATGGATATAACCATTCACAAATCACGTGGCTAAGTCACGTTTGCTGTGGGACTTGGACCTCGGTCGCACTGAGAATTAGGCACTAATCTATTGCATCAGTCAAGATGTAGGCACCACCACCCTGCCCTTCCCTCCCAGCATGGGGCTTAGCTGCCACTGGGATATCCTCTGTGCCACAGTTTCTGTCCAAAGGAGAGGAAATCCCCCAAACTGCTGTCCCTTGGTGCTCCCAAGCTGGCTGTTGGTCTGCCTGTGTGCTCGTAGGGCTGGATGGAAACGTATGGTGTTTCAGGCAAGGCCATGTGCCAGCAGCAGTGGGGTCAGAGGGTGTCACATCTGGGTGGCTTAAATGCCACTTGATCGCTGTGCGTCACTGAGCAAAAGCTAAATGCCAGCACCGGGCTCGGAGAGCAAATCTGGGAGACAAGGTAAGGGTGCTTATAGTGCCAGCTGTAGGAAATCTGGCATAGGAGAGTGGGGGATTTCAGACCATTACAGCCCTTAGACACAGGGGGGTGCCCATGTCTGTTTGCCCCTTGCACCTGGTGGGCAGAAGATTTCTCTTCTTAATTTGCAGCAGTCCCTTGGCTCCACACCTCCCACAGCTCAGCAGCATCTTCAGCTTCCTTCAGTACCTAGGATTTCCATTGTATTTTCTGCTTTTTTAAATTATTATTTTTTTTTTTGGTAAGGCTGAGGAAGGGTGGACCTGCCATAAGTGTGGCACTGCAGCAGGAGTTGTGACCGACCGTCCCCAGCAAAGGCCAGCACATCCCCCGGGCTCAAACCAGGTGGAGCAGGGACCAGCCCATGTCCTCTGTGTCCTACCCCGTTGTCCTCACCCTTGGGTTAAACGTGATTAAAATTGCTTGACCTTAGGGTCTGCATTAGGAAAAAAAAAAAAAATTAAAAAAAAATCAAGTGTTCCACGTCCATGATGGTAGTTGAAATCCGGTCCAGGACAATAGGGCCGGGAAGGGAACGTCCCAGGGGAGCCGAGCTGCACAATGCTGTCTGGCCACGCTGCGCATGAGGAGAGGTGACTCCGTGCAGCTCCCACTCGATAAGCAGTGCTTAGCGGCCTTTTTCTTCCTCTAAAGAGAGAGTATTAAGAAGTGTTTATTTGTTTATTGGTGTTTCTCATGTTTTCCTATCTGACATCCTGGCCAATATTAATTTTAGTCATGAAATACAACTGTGAAACAGGGAATAATTGCCTTCCTTCTGATGCTTCTGGGAAACAAGAAGTCAAACAGATTAATGGCTTCGCCTGTGTGAATTTGGGAATCTGGCACATAAGTGGAAACAGGAATTGAATCTTCACACCATCCATTATCGCATAGCAGTGAGGATAAAATGCCTCCCTTTTAAGATGGGGAGAAAAACCTCTAGTTTTGGTTTGCTGGCTAGATAATGTGGGCATTTATCCTTGTTACTATCTCCAGCAGAAGATTTCAGTGGCTGGAGTAATGAATTTAAATCTTCACCAACGGAAAAATAATCGTAAGAGAGAAGTAATTGAATTGTTTAAAACTACTGTCTTGCATTTTACAGTCTTCTCTGGGTCACTTCATTCATTCCTACCTGCGCTATGTAAGCATGCAATATTATAAAAGCGGTTGGAGAGGGTGGATGATGGTCTCTTGTGCTTGCTGGAAACTCTAAGGTGATGCAACTGGAATGCACACGGGAGAACAGAGCAGATCTGCTTTTGTTTATTTTCCTGTAGATAGGACTGTTTCTTTCTGAGGAAAATACTGAAGGCAATTCATAAAGATATGACAGATTCTTGGCATGAATAACATTATTTTTAGACTATTAAGATTTCCAGTATTATTAGATCTCCACTCCTAGAAAAATATTAGCCCTTTAGGGAGAAAAGCTTTTCTTATTGTATTATGATCTACATATTTATGTGTGTATATATGTGTATATAAATTAAATATTATATTTATTAGTATTACATTAAGATTAAAACTGATTAACATCTTCTATGAAATAAAAGCGACACTAAGCTGTATTTTTCTACCCCTAAAATAATCTTTTTTTCATGCACTTCACAGTTGGCTTCTTACAAGACACCACCAGAAATTACAAGAGGACATTTCAAACCCTACAGCCCAGTATTTCAAAGAAAAGAGAAAGCCAGAGAGATGCCCGAAGACTTCCATCTCTATGTGCCCCATTGTCCTTTTCAGAGCGGCACCAGAGGTTCCTCACGGACCCCTCCCGGGAATGGGACACTGGCTGCTGATTTTTCTGAGCCTGAAGATACAGAGAGTGACCTTGGGACATACACAGCTCAGAGCTGGAAGGAAAAAAACTGGAAATATACCTCTGAACCAGAAGATTTTAATAGGAAGACAAAAGTGCTCCCATCTCTGGATTTGAAAGAGAAAGATGGCAAAAACACAAAGCACCCAGAAGAACAACTGGAGCAAGAATTAAAGGAGACAAAAAAGAGGCTGATGCTTTGTACTCAACAGCGACCCTTGTCATATGATTCAAGCAGGATGGACTTAGGTGGAACCAGTCCAGGGTATCAAAACAAAGGAGCACTGCGGACTTCTGAGAAGGATGCTGACTGGCGAAAAGATGTGTTCAAACTATCTGGTCATCCTACGCCTCTGTTATTTGCAGATGATGCTCCACCAGCTTTGCCAGTTGACACAAAAGATGCTCTGAGGAGTCCAGGTGCGGTTGCCAGGGAGCAGGCAGCTGGCCGGCCAAAATCACCACTGAGGCTCATAGCCAGTGCTATCAAAAGGTCCATTTTGGAGCCTCTAACCTCATCTCCAGAAGGACTAAAGCAGGACTCGGACAGCAAAGTCAAAGCCTCTTCAGAACAAGCTTTCTTCAGCTTCCCCAGTACTCCTGGCTATTCCTTAAGCCAAGGGAACAATAACAATAATAGAACAGATAATACTCGGCCACGGGAGCGTAAAGTAGGGGAGCGGGCAGGAGAATATTTAAGAAATGGGAAGCCTTTCTCAAATCCGTCTAAGTTTTCTGTCAGTTCTGAAGAGAGATCTCTAAGGGATTACAGCAAGGACGCATCCTTCCCTGTCTACAGTCCTCACACCAGGCCTTCCAAGACAACCAGTATACCTCAGAAATCATCTGGCACTAGGATGGAGGATGTCCCAGGACTCCTAGAAAAGTTTACCTTTAAAGAGACTCCTCCAGGAGCTTCAATGGATGACATGTTTATCTGTAATGAAAAGTACCTCCTCCTTTCATCTTCAGAGCCCAAGAACACCTCCAAGGACAATCTGGATGACTCTGCACAGAAGGGTACTCTTGGGTCGCTCTTCGGTAGACTGAGAAGTAAAGCTCATGACAGAGAAGGGAATTCCTTTGTGTCATCTCTGCCTTTCATGAAGGACTGCTCTCCAGAAGACAGGCTATGTTATCCTTCCACAGGTGAGGACCTGAGTGGAATTATTTTTATTTTTATTATATTGTTATTAAGTAATAGCACTTAACATTTAAAAAACCTGTGTGTGATCATGCAACGCATACCTGTTGTATGTTATGTTTAATTTATAGTTACTTTCTACATAGGAAGACTTAATAAATGTATTTTTTGCTTAAGGTTTAGGAGTTAACTTCTGGTTTAAAGGAGCAGAGTGGATTTGCAAGCAGAGCACAGCTTGCTGAACCCAAGTTTGGTCTGCTGCTCGCTGCTGTTCGTATGTCTTTGAGTCAGGGAAATGTACTGGGTGAGATGGAAGGAACGGTGAGGCCGAGCAGGATGCTGTGCAGAGCAGCTGCTGCTGTGACACTGAGGGTGTTGGGGCAGGGGGAGTACAGCGGGCAAGCAGAAGGATGAGCTCCAAAAACTTCGGTGCAGCGTACAGGACATTTGCTACTCTTTCCACGAGGAGCTCAGAGACTGAAGCAGTATGGTTGCGATAGCAAGAAGCTTTGCTTTGTGCATGTGCTTTCTCAGCAGGTGTCTCTTCAGCTCTGTCTGCTGCCGAGGTGACCAAACTGTAGACATACTTTTGGGAGCTTTGCGGTGTCATTAATATTCCCTTGTTCTTTTATTTGAGAGGAGATAGCGCCTTATTGACCTACTCTGACCTAGTTGTAAGTCTATTTAGGCGGTGATTAAAAGGCATCAATTTTTATGTTTGCTGGCAAGAACAAGGTTAGTATTAAAATTGCAGACGAGTCTAAGAAATATTGATGTCAGACAAAGAGCAATCTGAGTAATCTGAGCATAGGCTCAGAAAGAATTAAGTGCAGCACAGTTTCAGGTATGAAATATGAGGTATGAAAGCTGCACCCACCTGCCTTTCTCTGTGATCCATCTTTCCACTAGCCTACTGCAGAAAGTCACAATTATTTAACTAAATAACCTATTGAATTTTATTGATGTACCTGTTTGTTTCTTTATTAAATTGCAACAGAAACTGTAACCCCAAAATTGCTGCTGTACTGCAGCATTCAAATAACAACCTGTATGTAAAACGTGAGGTCACTGAAATGTTCCCAGTGAGCTGCCAGATCCTTCTCGCATCCTTTCTGCTTCAGAACTACTGCATACTGCGAGGGGGATAGACAGTATATAAAAGACCTGATCTGAAGCTCATTAAAATTGATAGAATAACTCCCACTCTCATTCCTGAATTTTTGGATTGGATTCTTGGAGCATCCTTTATCTAACAACTTGCAAAACCAGGCGTCCCCATTGAGCCAGAGGATGCTAAGGACTGAAGCTACAGAGAGCTGCTAGTGTTCACACTTGTCATGCTGTGGTCTTACATGGGAGGCTTTTTCTGAGTCTATACCCAGTCATCACCCATCAGCTAAGCCAAGCTGACATGCTCTTAACTAAACGTATTACAACATTTGGTATGTCGTGTTCCTACTAAAATGGGAAAAGTTCTTGTAAGGTTTGAATAATGCTATACTCTATTTAAGTTTTAAATATTTTGGAAAAACATGCTTGTTTAATATATGTTGCATTCCTCTGTTGTGCAAGCCAAAAAGAGGAATTATTAAGTTATTATAATTATTGAATATAGGCATTGCAAAGTCTGTTCAGAATCAAAAAATGCAGCTTTGATCTAGCCATTTGCCCAGTAATCTGTGGTCTTCAACGTTTCAACATTGCAGTTCCCTGAACTTTTTCAACCGTTCATATTTGAGTAAATCAAACTGGTAAAAGAGCCAAGTCCTGCTTGGCTCTCTAAAATGGCATTTCTGTCTCATATTGGCACTTGTCTGAGGCCCAGGCTTGGCAAACTTCAGTCATGAACTGATGACAAGCTTTAGCTCACATTACATGTCGTTATTTTTCTCTCTTGAAATTTACCATGAATGTCAGGAAAAAATTTTTCTTTAAAGAAAAAAAAAAATACTCCCGGCACCTTGCAGAAGCCAATTTAATGAGGCGCTTTCTTGTACTCCTCTTGGCTCTTTGCAGTAGGGCTTTTCTATCCTATTTGAAGCCAGACAGACTTGTTCTGTGCAAGTATGGTTGGTTGTACATTACACTGGTGTTTTCTCCCTCGATGGGCTGTTGGCTTGTGGAGCCAAAGAATGAGCTGGGTGATAAAAGTCCATGGGCTTGAGATGAGACTGAGCAAGCTCATTGAAGAGAAATTCGCTGAGGGTTAACCAAATGCTTAGAAACCACTTCCAATTTAGAAAGCTCCTGAAATGAAAATGAAAAATGCTTGGAGGCTGGGTGAGGGTTAAGGGGAGGAATCACATATGACTGCTCGGTGCCTATAGCATTCCTTTAGACGTCCACTGCTGGAGACAGGCTGGAAGGACCTTCAGTGTCACCCTACACACCTACTTCTATGTTATGTTGCTTGTCTTTTCCTACACCTTATCTTAGTTACTTTACCTGCAAATACATGTCCAGATGTCTTTCCTATGCTGATGACTTCTGCATTTCAGACCCAGGTGTCTGCCCAAACTAAAACTATATTCTTTCCTTCTGTCATCTCCTGCCAAGTATTCAGCCACCAGCTGAAGCTCAGCATGAGGAAGCAGAGATCTTAATTACTCAGCAGCAGATTGCCTGTTGCTCAAATTTACACCTGCAGTTACACCTTCCATATGGGTCATTCCAGCTTCTGATATCCAGACCTGACCTAAAGGCTTTCTGGCTAACACTTTCTTTCTGTTTTATAAGAGATATTCCTCAGAGCCATTTGGAAATTTTGGGCTGTGCAGAGATCCAGCTGCTCAGACTACCTGTGTGGGATCTAGACAAATCTTAGTGAAGTAATGGGGGTTCATGCACTGTTTTCAGTGAGAGATTGGTTTAAAAAAGAAGTCTAAGTTTGCCTGTAGAATATGCAAATGTCCCCAAATAGCCACACTGGAGTTTCTAGGTGCAATTCCAGATTTTTGATTCACTGCACAAGTATCTTTGAGGCTTTTATCCTTTGATTCCTCCTTTGTGTTCCAACCTGTAGTTAAAAAACAAAATAAAACAACCAAACAAACAAACAAAAAAAAACCCCACCAAAACAAAAACTTGATCAATAAACTTGATCAATCAGATGGTTAACCGTTCTCTCCTAAGCCTACTTGCCCTTTTGAACTTCAAAAAAATGCCAAAGTGCCAGGTTAGTTATAGATACTAAAAATCATTAACACCACAGAAAAACAGCAGTAAAAAGAGAGCTAAGCCAGGTTGTACGAGAGAGTTGCAGTCAGCAGTGTTTATAATGAGATGCAGTAGTGGATCCAGGGTTGAGGTGACTTTTGACTTACAGACAGACCTTCTGAAGACCAGCCCACGAAGGCGGTTGGTTATTGGCAGATGTTTGTGACTCTGGGTTTGCTTCTTCATAGCGATAGGGACGAGGGAGGAATATTTCTGTCCCTGACAGAGTAGGGATCATGTGAAAACATTCCTAGAATCATCCCTTAGAGGAGATGAGAGTCATTGTAACTCAGTTTGTGACTGTGTGTTGTTTACATGGCTCACTTCATTAAGTAGGACAAGTAATTCAGCTGATGAGAAGATTAGGTGTGTTATGAGCTCACTTTGCAGGTTTTGTGCACTTTTAGATTGAAAAGGGATTGCTTGCAAATGCATCAGGTTCATACATGGTTCCCATTACCTTTGTACCACTGAAAGTCTGTGTTTGCAACGTTCTTAACTGTGTCCCAGCTGACATCTCAGTGATTTCATATTTTACAAGGGGAACTGAGGCACTACAAGATTAAATTACGTACCTAAGACCATATGAGAAATCTGTGGAGAAGCAGAGATGTGAAGCCAAATAGCCAAGGCCACTCTTGATTTCTACTGGCATTTCTTTTCATCTTCTACCTCATGCCAATTCCTGCCTGGTTTGGGACACCAGTACCCTGAGAGAGACGTGTAGCTTTGGCTCTCTCTTTTGTAAAACACTGAAGTACTTAAAGTGGTCATGATTAGCTCCAAGGACTTTACAAAAATACGCAGTCTTGGACGTTTCCAGAGGAAGCCAACAGATTAATGTAACATTACGAACAGTTTCTGCTCCAAGACTTTCTGTGTATTTAGACTACTGCCATTACTGTGACACAAAAACACGCCAGGAAAGGGAGGTGAGCTGTGACATGCAGAGTGACGTCAGGGTGGTTTTCCCTATAAGTCTCTAGGACAATCAGCAGTGCTCCCATGTCTAACAGCAGGTATCACCTTCTCAACCTCTTTGTTCAGGGGACCTCAAGTTTCCTAGAAAAACCAGTACCTTAGATTTATATCTTAAGGGAGGGGTTCTCAAGAGCATTGGCCTTTGGTCCCGTTGATCCCTCTGAATACAGCGAGGGTTTTACCGCTGTTGGCATTCAATGGCAGCACACTTAGGCCATAGCGAAGTGCTCATATTTCTGGTCCTTTCCACAAGGAAATAGCCAAAGAAAAACAGTTGAGTAGAGCACTCAGTGGCAGCCCTTTTAATGTTGAAAGAAATGCACTGTGCCACTGTTTCTATAGCCCTGAAATGTGGCAGAACCACACATCTGGGAGCCAAAACCCTGTATTCTCATCCCAGTTCTGTCCCTCTTTGCTGCGTGTTTCTGGGCACCTCCTTGGAGAGGCCATGCTTCAATTATCCACATTACATTAGCAGAGAACATCAGTGCTGTGATATGTTATATGCAGTAAATGTGACAGAGACCATAACTGTCAATGCACACAGGTAGATCCATGAGATGCCTCATCACCAAGTGGTTTCACATGGTCCTTCGTCCAGTAGGATTCTCAGGTGGAGACAATGAAGGATGTTGCTGATCACAGTTGGATGGTGGTTATCTCACAGGGCTTTGGGTACCAGGTCCCTTGAAAGGCTGAGCTGTTTCAGAGCAATCTGAATGGCTTTTCTCTATGGAACAAGGTGCAAATACGTGGCTCTCCATGGCAGACGGGCATTGGGAGGACTGCGGATGTTAGGAATCTATTCCATGCACAGACATTGGCTTCCTCATGCTCATGAGATGGCCCTTGAAAGTCCTTGGGGAAGTCATTGACCCTCTCTCTGTCCCAGAAAGGCAAACAGCTCCTGAGTCATACCCCCGACGAGGAGGCAGGTGCCCTTGTGTTACAGCAGGCTGCTTTTCCTCTAGACCTTGTAATGCTTTTTAAATTATTGATATCATTCAAAGAGGAGAACGGGAGAAGCAGTCACTTATTCCCACAGCTGAGAGAAGAAAGGGAGCGTGTAATTGTTTGTGTTTCCAGCCCTGCTGGGATGTAAGGTTTGCCCTTTGCATATTATGGAATTTGATTTCACCAGCAGCGTGACCGCAGGGTAGTTACTGCAAACTTTTGGTTGCACAGGGAAAAGCAAGGTAGGTGAGGTTACTCCTCAAAGGAAGTAGTGACTGATACCCCCTGTGCCTTCCTCCATCTCCTGCACTGGAAGGGCTTTATGGCTGACTGTCCCTCTTGGAACAGAGATGGAGTCCAGCTGGATTTGCACACTTGTCCGCAGAGCGTGGGGCAGTGCGTGGCACTGGTGTCACCCCAGCAATCGTGAGCTGTCAGAGAGTCCCTGGCAAGTCAGCAAGCAGGAGCTGTGTCCCTCCTCAAGTGCCCCAGGGGAGGTGGGGGGTGGCAGCCTGGGCGATGCTGGGCCTGGGAGGCTGGAGACCCATCTGGAGGGCTACTGCACCTCCCTGCTTTTGCTTGCAGGCGTCTGCTGCCCAAGGACTTGTCCTGCAGAAAGGGTGGCAGGACCCACGTCTGCTCCACTGGACCCTCTGAGCTCGCAGCTTCACTGAGCACAAGGATTGGGTGCTTCTAAAATTGAGATTGGTGAGAAAAGTCAGAATTTCTGCCTCAGATTACTTGGATTTGCTTTTAGTGCTTTAGCGTCTGGGATGAACGTGTTGCATGGATCCTGATTTTAAATTAGGGCTCGAGACAGAAGTCCTACTTTAGGACTGGGGTCCAGGACAAGGCAAAGAAGAAACATTTACACTGGGAGAATGGGAAGTGATTTTAATCTGAATACAACTTGCACATAGAAAGCTAACTGTTACCTTGCAGATACAAAGAAAAATGGCACTGTTAGCTTTAAATAATGTACATTTCCAAGATGTTGCCCAGCTGTTAATCATTAACCCTGTAGCAGGTTGAAGCATAGAGACAGATGTTCCAAGAGTGGTTTTATTTTCTGAAATAAAGAGAATGAAGCTATGAATTAGACAAATTAAGAAGAAATTCAAATATTTACACGCAGTTGAAACAAGATGCTGGAAAAACAGGCATGATAAAATTGCTGCAATTAAATGTAATTTAATTTATAATTCTGAAAGCATGCTTCTTCCAAAGGCAGCCTTTGAGTTTTCCTTATGGAGTGCATTGTTGTGATGTATGGATTTTCCTGACTTATTATGGCATTTTAATCAACAGTTCAATGATGTGATAATATTCCTAAAGCAGAAAAATAAGTGACGTTTGTTTAGACATAATTAATGAAATATTTATGTTGCATGAGGCTGTGTGATAAAGCCTTGTTCTCTTAGTCCATTTGCTTCTGATTACATTTGTGATTTTTTTATATGACCAGACATTCTGACGCCAACTATTTTACACTGAGCAGATGTCATGTAGTAAAAATGGGTGCCAGATGCTACAAGCCACATAAGGGTAATTTGTTTAAGAGCTGGCTCAGACTTTTTGCATTCAATTACACTGTATAGTGAGCCTTACACAATCATTTGGGTAATATGGCTAACTTCAGATATACATTTTAATGAATGTTGTGTGCATTCATAACAGCATGCTACATGCACGGTGCTCAAGGAATTAATTTATTTGTATGTAATACCTGAAAAAAATCAAATATACACAGACAGTTTTTGACAGGGATCAAAAATTTAATTAATGCTGTCAACCAAATTTCCAAATTGCTCTAGGTGCTGCTGATTAGAACTCAGGGCAGGTGCAAAGTGTCTGTGTAAGGTAAAGAACAGTATTTTTTGCTTCACTGTTTTGTTCCTGTATTTTAGGATGTGAACACCTACCTGTCAGAAAACAAGCTACCGAGTATTCTACGTCTTCCTCTGGTGATGAATTTGAATCCAAGGCTTCATTACCACACAAGGTAATCTTGACTTGGAAACAGAAAGATATTTCCTCAGTTGGACTGTATTTAAGATTCATCATATGAATTTGTTCTAAAACAGACTGCAATTTCTTAAAGTGAGGATTGGAATGTTTTATCAGTGGAGGTTATGTGTCATGGAGAGAAAATACATTAAAATTCTTTAAGACAGATGAACGTAAAAATTTCTTTTTCCCCTTTGGATCTTTAATTCCCCCAGGTTACACCAGCATTGACAGAGGAGGTCTTAATTTGACAAACAGACATGTTTCACTGAAACCACTTTGAAGCTGCATTGTTAAGTGGCTTTAATATGTAGCCCAACAAGCAAACTATTGAAAAAATTAAACCAAACAGATGCCGATTTCCCTTGGGGAAATACAACTTCATTTGAGAAGTGCTCAGGCAGGTTGCATGGAAAACACTGTGTTTGTTCTAATCAGCACGACTGCGTGAGCCACGAAGTCGCACCCAGACCCCGTACGCTGAAAGGGCCGGCTGCGCAGCCAGGTCTGCCAGCCCTACCTTGGTTCCTGTGGGGTTAAAGCACCAGTGAACTCTTGGTACCTACCTCTGATGTGAAGAAACAGAGCTTTTATTGCCTGAATAGCTCATCAGAAATGTGTTTACCTCTTTCCTGCGGAGGGGGAATATCAGTAAGTGGAATTAATAGTAAGAGGTAGCCTTTTGATTCATTGCCTTTGGGGGGGGGAGGAGAGCAATGCAAGAGGCTGCCCGATAGGCTGAAAAAAACAGTCGAGCTGAAAGCTAAGTTGGGCTTTGAATGGAAACCCAGTTGCACAGCTCCAGAGGAACCAAAATACCACGAGGCAGAAGCACGGTGATGTGTGGCAGCACGTCCTGCCAGTGGCTCTGTGTCAGGATGTACTGGGATGTCAGAATTCATCATTCATCTTCCATGTTACAGGAAAGACAATCTATAGTAAGATAATATTATGGTGAATTAAACAAAGTTTAAACAAAATAGAGGAAAGAAGGGAGACATGGGAGAAAACTGGATAGGAGCAACTCCAGACGGTTCAGGCAGCCGCAGGGACAGGCCGGACCCAGAAACGGGGTGAACGAACAGCTGTTGCGCACGGGCATTAGCAGTGACTCGGTTTTGATGCACGTTCCCCGCTCAGCTTGTTTCTTTCAGCTGCCTCCTAGCACCGCTTTTCATGCCAGTCCTGGCTGCTATTTCGCCAGTACCACCGTTTTTCTCTGGCAAAATTTGGTGGGAAAAATTTTAGTGGCTTCCTGGCTTGTTAGTTTTTTAATCTTCTTGTCTACAGTGCTCATATATTCTGTCTTCTCCAAAGTGGGAAAACCGTAGCCCTGAAGCGCTGCCAGATAGCTTGGGTGAAGGGCAAGACGGAGCAAGCGCAGGCGGCTGCCTCGGCCAGCCCTGCAGCACGTGCTGCCCCGCTTTCCCGGCAGCGGCGACGGGTGCCCCAGGGAAAGGCAAAAACCTCTGTGATGCAGTAGAGGAATGGCATTGGGGAAGGTTTCGTAGGGCTTCAGGTAGTATCCTATGGTGGCTCTTCCTTTTGGATGCATCCCTCTTGCTGTGTTACAAGTGATCCAAAGTGAGTTTTACTACTTAGCAGCTACAGCAGTAGAAATGGGCTGAGTTGCCTTAAACTGGTGCTTCACCCTGCCTGTGCCTGGCTTCTCGCCTGATCATGGTGATGTCTGCAGAAGCCATGTATAGCAGTACGTTGTATATAGTCAACTTTATGATTCGGACATTTTGCATTGATAGACACAGTTCACACTCACTTAGAGTTGCAATAAGAGCTTGTAATGATTTAAAGTCAATGTGGGAAAATGCATGAAAATATGCCTACATGAATATTTTTGTTTCAGTGAGGTTGCCCCAAGCGCCTTGCCATAGCTCACTCTGCTTTGAGCAGGGGAGTTGGATTAGATGATCTCCAGAGGTCTCTCCCAACCTCAACAGTTCTGTGATTTTGGGGAAGGTTTGAGGAAACCTGTAATGGCATACTTATGCTTTGATTGCCTTTTTTTTTCCCTCTCTCTCTTTTGTAGGCAAAAAGGGCTCTCAGAAGGAGAAGGAAGCTGGAGAAGGAGACAAAGCAATTGATTAAACAAGAGGAGCTGAAGAGGCTTCACAAAGCACAGGTGAAAACGTAGCTCGCAAATGTCCCTCCCACTTGTCTCCCAAGAGTGACTAGCAAGAACAGGGGGTACCCGCTGTGGGCTCTGCACCTCCCCTCGCTCCTCACTGCCTTCGATGTTGAAATCCCCCCAAACCATCAGGGGCAGGAAGATGAATGTGGCAGGGCCTTGCATCTCTCTCTATGTGACAAATCCACATGTGCCCCAGGAGATCATTGTAATTTTGTAATTGTGTATGAGGAGCAAGAGAGAATAGTGACTGGCAATAAGAGAAGAATACTTTGAAGAGAGGGAAGGAGATAGAAAGGGCAAATAACATCAGCCCTGAGAATGTAAGAAGCTCAGCTATTGCCACTATGTACCACAGGAGGGTACGAAAATACAGTGATGGTTTTTGTTCTCTCTCTGCCATAACAACGAAAATGAACCTTTTTTTTTCTTAACGATGCACAGTAACTTCACTTTATATGGACCCTGCTCTTCAGAAAATGCTGGAAAATCTCTGGACTCTGCTAATGTTTTATTATTTCCAATTACAGTTCAAAAATTTGGGAATGCACTTCTGCACAACTTGATCTCAGACTGTGTTCTCTCAGGTGTCAAAATTTTCAGGTTTATCTATTTCACTTACCACACATATATGTATATGCATATACACACACACACACACAGAGACAACTTAATGGCTTATGTGGCCATTACCACTTTTTGTGTGTGTCTGTACTGTAGCATAGGGCAGAGAAACCTGAGCTAGATTTAATCTCATTAATTCAGGTTATAATGGTAATCAAGATATGGTAGTGGGGAGGGCAGGCTTTCTGAAGGCAGAGTTGTCCATCATCTTGTTGTATTACTATAGCAGGTGGACAGTTTTGGATGGAGCTTCCACTTGCTACTTCTGTACCAATACTAAATTAAAAAAGAAAACCAGTGAGTTGTTTTTCAGATGTGAATCTGAAATCTCTGTTTCTGTAGACATTACTGCCTTTGCAAAATGTGTTACTGAAAAGGAGAGAAATTTTATCTTTGACTCAGACAGTGGATTTTAGAAAATGCTAATATCTAGCCGTTACTATAAAATCCCTGACACAACAAAACCCATGGGGAAAAAAATAGTATCTTATTTAATCCAAAGCAAGAGCAACTATGTTATAGTTTTTATCTGAGAATTGTAAATTATCTCAAGTTAAAATTAGATGTATACGTGCCTTCTCTTATTTTACTGCTTCGGTAAAGAATCAAAGCCAAACTTTTTGAACCATGTTTTGTCTTTGTTAGGCTGTTCCTGAGGGCTTGGCTTGGTATGCCCTAACACAGCCTGAAATGGGAACTGCTGAGCGTCTGTCTTTGACAATTCAACCTTTTAAGGTGTTTCATGCCTATTATCCACATGGCACCTCTGAAAATCTTATTTAAAAGGGGATGGATCAGTGAATGTAGAAGTCCTTCCTGAAGTGCTACTGAATTATCACTTCTTTGCTATTAGATCCTTTCCCTCCTGTGTCAAAAGCTTGTGAAATATGAAAGCAAAACAAACAACAAAACCCCATGGAAAAGAAAATAGCTAGCAAAGCTTTCTAGCTGTAAACCTGCAATATTTATATGAGCTTTATTCATGTAGCATCTCAGAATATGTACCTCTGAAAGTGTAAGGTATTGACTTCTCACACCTTGTGAGACACAGGAACATTATGATCTCTGTTTTACAACAGGAGAGCTAAAGTTCAGAAAAACTGAGGTTCTTTTAGTACCTACGATACGTACCCACATAAAAATGTAGATAGATACCTAGTGGAATTATTAAATTGCTTAGGCGCCTAATACGTTCAATGAGTTTGCAAATCCTGTGACTCCTCCGAGACCTTTTCAAGCTGTTTCTCTAACCGCTGAGACCGTCTATTGTCTCTGAATATTTAAGCTATGTCTGTAGCTTTTACATCATTACAATTTTGCAGGCAGTCCAACGCCAACTAGAAGAATTGGAGGAAAGACAAAGAGCTCTGGAGATTTTTGGTGTCAAACTGGAGAGAGAACTAAGAGGAGAATCAGGTAATGAAGCAGTGGGGGTTTTTTTTGTTTGGTGGTGGCTTTTTTTAACCATTTTCAAAGCAGAGGGTTTTTAATAATTGTCATAGAAATAGAGTTCAGTGCAAAATCTGAAATGAAACAATAACTGGAAGGACAAAAATCATTGCTTATCTGTTTCCTCAAACTCTGTTAGTTCAAGCACCTTTATGCTGAATGCTATAAATTTTCTGTTGGTTATCACAGGTTTGGAATTATTTCCCTTGCTATTGAACCTCAATCTACACTTCCCACCCCCCACCCCGCCCCCCCCTTTTTTAAAATCCCATCCTGAGCTTAATTTCATCTTCTGGAGGGAACCAGTGAGGTTTCCAGGAGCTGTATCTCAGTTACCAAGCCAGCAGCAGCCCATGCCTAGTAACAGAGTCCTTAATGACTTCTCCCAGAGTGTGAAATGCCATTAATACGATTAGAGCTGGTGGCTACGCTATAGCAACAGCAGCATGCAGACACACAGACCTGAACCACGCAGCTTTTCCCCCAGTGAGTAGAAGATAACAGGGATGTTGTCCTGGCCCCGGTCGGAGGCAAGGTTTTCCCTTGCCTGATCCGACAGTCCCAAGCACCCAGGACTGCAGCATCCTCCCGCCAGCCCAGCCTTGCCACTGCTCCCCAGCACGCATGGGGTGAAGGTGGGGAGACCTCCCGCAGAGGGATGGGGCATCTGGGGGCTCCCGCCAGGCTCAAAATGGGAATGGGAGTGTGAACCATGCGTGTAAGGGACTTCAGAGGGGGCTGCGGTTCTGTGCTGAAAGGACTCTGGGGAGCCAACAACCTGATTGCAAACATGTCTTTATTCACCTCTGTCCTAGAAAGCTGAACCTTGTGCTTTCATGACAGGCAGTTGCACAGCACTGAAAACCTAGATATGTTTTGACACCTGATCTTGTTGTTGTCTTAGCTAGGCAACCGAGCACAATCTCTGCTGGCTTTTTTAATGCCATATTCTTAGCAGTTATCACCCCTATTCTAACACTGAAATAATCAGTTCAGCAAGAGAGCATTTGCCCAACCTTTTATATTTATTAACTAATTTCCTATAATTGATAGTGCCAGCCTATTTCAAATGTTATTTAAAAGGCTAGCATCTTTTTTCTTAAATGAAAACATAACCTTTTATCAAATGCCACCCACCTTACCGCCTGTGAGAAAGTCTGCTAAAAAGACTTTGAGGATTTGGAGTGTTAGCTTTTTTCTTTACTGCTGAGTCCTACAAGAGTGGTTGTTTTTCAGAAACCTCAAAAATATAGAGGGACAAGAGGCTTTTAACTCTTGGGATGGACACTGAATACCAGGATAAATGGCCTAGAGCCACCTCTTGGTTTTGCTGTTTTGACAGTCGGGTTTCTTAAAGAAGGCTGTCTGCCAAGAGATTGATGCTTCTCATTCTCTTCCCCTCTTCCCATCCTTAGTAATTGGATTGCCTTCATTAAGGTGAAAGTACTATTTTTTTTCTCCCCGTTGATTGTTTGTGTGTAGGTGGCCAGTTACAAATAGGGCAGATACTAAAACGTAGGATGTTACTGTCTCTCAATAACTCTTCCGGTGCAAAATCATGAAGCTGTAAGTTTCTCAAAGTGTGAGTGCTTTGTTGCTTGTAATAACATACATGTAATGATGCAGGAATTGGCGAGTTTAATATTTTGTTCAACCTTCTTAAAAATAATGAGCATTATTGTTTAATGAATGACCAGTGTTTATTAGGTTAAGTTGTATTTAAGCAGGTCTGCGCTTATGCAATTCAAGTGATTTAATAGGTATTATTAAGGTAATTAGAAAACGATCACAGTTCAGCAGTAATATTGAGCTGCAAAGGTTGTGAATAACCAAATTTAGAGACAGGCCTGCAAACACTAGTCTTCAGTGACATTTACGCAACTCTCCCCTAATAATTCTGTAAGCCTGGGATGAATGGCCCCTTTGTTAGGGGGAGTTATTCATTAGCTCCTCAACTGAATTAGACGAGAACATGCGTGGGTGCAAAACAACTGCCATGAAGACTGATGAGCAAAATGAGGCTTTGATGATCTTCTAATTGTAGTGACAACAATTCATGCATTTAAAAAAAAAAAAAATAATATCAGTCCTATGAATAATTTTTCATGCCCGTTATTCCCTTTATTCTGGTTTGAAATACCAAATAATAAATCACTGATGTGCTGTTGCTTTGCTTTCCACTGACATTTGTGGAGGCTTATGGAGATCTGCCTAAAAGAAAATATAGAAATAAAAATCTGGAAACAAGTTTTCCACTGAAATTAGCATAACCGATCAGTTGACTAAACAAATTATGAAGAATGATGGTAAAGAAGAAAATCTGTGATGAGAGAACGTTAAGAAATCTCTCTATGTTTTGAAAGGTGAACAAATAGCTGCACATGTTGCAGCTAGTTTTTTATTTCATAAGAAGCATGTCCAAGGTTTCTCAGAACTTTCAACAGAGTCAAAAGAAATCAGCTGAAAATCTGTAGGATTAAGGAATATAAGCTTTAGCTGTTTCTAAAAAGGTGCAAACTGGCCAAGCCCTCTTTACTGTGTGACTGCTGTTCAGAGGGACAGTGTAGCATCACTCTGGGGGTCAGAAGGTTGAGATTTTGAGAGCAGTGTTCAGTAAATACTCCTCTGCAGCCTGTCATTGCGTCAAAAGTGATGAAAATAGAAATAGCTACGATGTAATTAGAATAATATCTGACTTTCAAATGGGAACTAGGTTAAAGGAGACTTGGCTAAACCAGGAGGAAAGTTTTGCTTTAGCAGCGCTGTAAGGAAAAAACAGCATGGCTTACAAAACTAACTCACAAATTGTTTTCCCTCTAACCTTTAAAAAGATCTGTCATAGTGTGTTACGCAAAAGACTTCGTTGGCTTGCTCTGCCTTTGGAAAGTCATAAAGCACTGCATCAGACTTAAATAACTATTAACATCATTATTAACAAACATTTGAAAATCTCAGGGAAAAAAATGCACCTAGGGACACTTGAGGAGGGTATTCTGTGTGATGGAGAAGGAGGAAAAACAAGGGCTTTTTTTATTTCAGTTTGCACTGAGGGGTTCTTCATTGCCAAAGATTTTTGTACAGATGGCATTTTAGGAGCACTAAAGGCTGTCACCTGATGAAAGAGAAATCCATTCTCCTCTTCAGCAAGGCAGAGTCGAGCTGTGAGCTCTTTGGGAGAGAGACCATCTCGTGTTTCACGTCTGTATAGTGCCTACCAGTGATGCCCTGGCCCAAAGTGTTACAAAACCACCCAGTAAAACTAGATTTCTCCTGTCCCACAGCCTTTCCCGTCATTCAAAGCAGATGTAGATTTAGAAACCAGTTGGCAAATGAATGGAAATTTGTAGAGGATTTAATTGTGTGTCTGGTGCCCACTGGAAGCAGGGACTAAGTTGACCCTTGCCCACATTTACATCCTGAAGTCTGATTGTGTTAATGGGATATCCATTTATACATGTAGTTCAGCTGCTGGAGTCCAGTATCAACAGAGAAACTATGTTATCAGAGGCAGAACTGAGAGAAAGAAAAAGTGCCCAATAAAAACGTCTACATGATTATTTGAAAGAAAAAGCTTACCTTCCAAAACAAAAGTGTTTTTAAATCTAATGCATTTTTAACTGCAATAAACTACAACATTGAACCAAATGTAGACGAGAATGCTATCTATAGCTGTTATACCCAGACATTAATGTGTAAGTTTCATACAGGAAAAAAAAATCTACGTTTAAACTCACCTAGGCTTACAAATGAGTACTATTTAAAGTAAACTTAAGTGGTAAGAGCATTGGAAGGAAAGGTGGTAATGCACATTTAAGTCTCCTCTTTCAAACAGATTCAGGCACAAAGGATGAAACTCAGATGCTACATGAGTGGTTTGAGCTGGTCCTGGAGAAGAACAAATTAATGCGTTATGAGTCTGAGCTCCTGATCATGTAAGTAAGGACAAGCATTAGTACTAAAGATGGGGAGGGGAGAGGGGAAAACTACTCACAGGACACCTGAACACCTTGCTGCGTGCTGCAGTTTGAGTCTGTCATGGAATAAACATACCCAGAGTAGCTACAATCTGTTTTGAACACAGATTTTCAGTTGAGCCCTCCTCATCCTTCCCTCTCGCAGTGGTTCAATTATTTCAATCCTATATGATACTCTAAACCAGTATAGCATATAGATGCTCTGCCTTTGCATAATGTGAGTCTAATGAACACTGGGGCACTTTCTTCTGTGGAAGAAAAATAGTCTGACAAGTTTATCTCATTTTTTATTGGACATAGGAGAAAAGATCTAGGCATTCACTACAGTGATGAAACGAGCAGATACACCAAGCAAATAAAAACCGTCTGTGGTTGATGGAAACTGTTTGTGGTTGATGGAAACAATATTGGCTGTAGCTCCCTCACCTCGCCTCCTTGGAAACACCTTCAACAGATGGGTGGAGGTGACTCTCAGCTATTTTCTCCACTGTTTCTGGGCAGTGAGGGAAGGCAGTGAGAGCTGCAGCGGTCACTACTCACCCCTGGACTTCCCACCGGTGCAGGCTGCTCGTTGCCATTTCTCCAGTCCCTATCACTGGGTCAGCCCCCCGCGCTGTGTGCGGAGCAGCAGCCCAGCCACTACCTCCAGCCGCACTCCAGTTTCTCCCCAGCCGTGCTGATGCTGCCAGGGGCCAAACCTTTTCTTTCCCCTTCGATTGTCATTGGGTGTTGTGGAAGCAAAGCTTCCTGCTCACAGTGTCTGCAAAGCAGAGTTAAAAAAGCAAAAGGAGACGGCTTTTATCACTGCAGGACACAAAGTGGTGTTGTCTGGATGTGTCCACATGTGTTAATTCCCTTGCCTCAGGACTCCTGTGCAGAGGGGCTGGCAGGGCCCTTCCTGTGTGGGAGTGTTCAGTCCTGTCCAGAATCACATTGTGGGTGTCACCAGCAAAGCACAGCTGGTTAAAGCCTTAAGTCTTGCAATGTACGAGGGAGCTTAATCTGATACACAACGCAAAAGGCGGTAGTGGTACTTCTGGTGTTGCTGTGGCACTGTAGGCACAGGCAAACCTTTCAGCCTTTACTGCCCATGAGGAGAAAGTACTGGATAAACAGAACACAGAATCTCTTGGTTGAAATAATATTAACATACATGTCTTTATTAAAAAAAGTTTATTCTTTAATGTACTTTTTATTGTACCTAGAGCCCAAGAGCTAGAACTGGAGGACCATCAAAGCAGGTTGGAACAAAAGCTGAGAGAGAAAATGGCCATTGATGGTAAGTCGAAGGGGAGAGTATGCTCCAGCCCACAGTGATAGACCATGCCCATACGAGTCCCTGCTTGCTCCAAAAAGGACCAGACTGGCTGAGGCTCTTCCTCCTGTGCTCTTCTGTGAGTGCAGCTCAACCAGCAAAATGCAACTTGAGAGATAATCTCATCTGACTTCTAGTGAAGACAGCTAAGCTAGCCTGCCCAGTTTTACACTGAACTGGATCAGAAACACTCACACATGTAATTCCACGAAGTGTGCTGTGCAGGCAGCATCATCCAGCTAACATGCGATGATGGGCAGCAGTGGAAAGTAATTTCTTCAACCACCTAAACACAAAAGAGATTATCTGCTTTTATGTTAACTGTAGCATTACTGGTTACCACAGTATTTTGGAACTGCTTTTAGGTACTTGGGATTACAGTTTGGGCTCATCCTTTCATTTGATATTAGAAAAGAGAGCATGGGGAGGAGGAATGCAGGGGGAAGCGGGGTTACATGGCACTGAATACCCCAAAATAGCCTGCTGTGTTCTAAGCATGTGGATTGTAAGTGAGGGCAGTTCTCAATATATTTTCCGAAAAACACTTTCTGTTTTCTTACAGGTACTACATTAGATGGTTGGGCTTTTTACCTTATAAATGAAATTTAAATTAATTTTTAATTAATTAGCTTAAAAAGGGCTTTCCAGCTTAAATGTTTTTATAAACAAGTAGTGCTCTTCCTACCCCTTTCACTCTAAGTTTTGTTAAAATATCTACTCTAGACATCAGGAGCCTTAATGGTCAACCTTAAATGGCAGAAATGCAGGAGAAATCTTCCCTGAACTGTAACATGAAAAATATTAACTGCTATTGACTTCATTTGTCACTGACTATAATATTAATTCAAGCTGTACACCAACAGTTAAAATGCAAAGTGTAACAACAGAGCGATCTGGATTTTAACCTCTTGTTTTGTGATCTTTTAGACAGCCTTAAAGATGAGATGGATCTGAATGAGGAGGATGAAATTTTTACTGAGATGATGAAAGTGGTTGAAGAAAGGGACAAACTTGTGTCTACCTTAGAGGAGCAGAGAGTGAAAGAAAAAGCAGAAGACGAGCACTTTGAAAGCATTATATTATCTAGAGGCTATCAGCTGAGCAGGATTTAAACAGCCACATGCACATAAACATGATTTCAGCAATATTTGTAGTCATGGAGATACAGTCTTCTGAAAAATGAAGGAATTCAAATTTAAAATCAGTTTATTTGGGAAACAGGTTGTTTTGTTGTCAAAAGCTCTTAAGCAGTTCTTTTGCTCATACCGGAGTGAGTCATTTCACTATCAGCTTAAAGGATCACCAGAATACAGAATAAGACTGAATTTACTTGTCTGATGGGCATCAGGGTCTGTGAAAGGGAAATCAGAGCTCTGTTGTTTTCTTGGAATTTTATTTTAATGCTGAGAATAGACTTTCTGAGAAACATGATGAAATGATTTAGTATTTTTGAGATGTCATTACTTTCCATCTGTTTGTTTGAATCTGTATGTGGTTTTGTTAATATTTGGCACAGCCAAGCCATGGTGAACTATTTAAAGTTCAGAAAGCAAGTTTCTCATATAAAAACATGGGTAGTTTTTATTTCTGGTGGAGGAATAGCCGTTTGACTAATAACTACATATAAGCACTCATTAAAACTACTGTAAATGCAATTTCAGAAATTAATTTTCCAGGTATTTGTAAGTTGTAATGCACCATGTATTTTTGAACAAGAAGTGAAAGCAATATTAAATCCCTACATTTTGTAACATGGTAAGGGATTATCAAAGGGGTGACTACCCTTAAAACTGTTACATGCTCAAAAAAGCTTTTGTTTCTCACAGATTAAGGTCTCTAAAATATGCCAAATGATAATTTAAAAATAGTAATCCAGACCCAATTAGTATTTATAGGGTAGGCTTTACAATTGCTTTATAAAACACATCACAAATAGTATCATGGTATGTGATGAGTGGTGTAGCAGTTAAAGATCTCCCTGAGAATAATTCCTCAAAAAGACTGCAAAAAATGTTGAGCTTGTACTGTCAACATTTGACAGAAAATATCTTGGGTATGTTTAAACTACATTTATTGTGCTGCCTAAGAATATACGCATATTTTTTGCTTAAAGGAACTATCTCCTGTCTTTTTTGTACATGCATTTGTAGATACTGGCAAAGCAGCTGTGCAGAAATTCTCCTTAGTATTCAGTGTAATTTAAGTATTTTCTTAAATCTGAGATAATTCTGCAATTTCAGATTGGTAGTATCCCCAAGTGTATGTGTGATGCACTAGATTTTCAAACTGAAAAAGCAAGGAGAAACTGAAAGACTGTTTCTTTTTGAATATCATTTTACCTCATGCATCTGAAGATACGATGTTCTTGTTATTTCATGAATGGTGCTAATTTGCAGCAGTTGCCTATGGTACAGCCAAAGCTAGAAGCATTCCTGTTACCAAAGCTTTAAACTAAAACACCTCTTGGTAAGTACTTGTAGGGTAACAGACACATTGGATCTTGTCACAATAATTTATGAATTGTCTTACATTTTTGCTCTATTGTAAGAAATGTAAAATACCCTTTCTAAAGATAAAAGCAAGACTTTAATATTCACCAAAGATAAATAATACATCTCAATTGGTGCAAGGAATATACTATTGTTCTGCAATATTTATATATTTATATTTATTTATTAGGCTGGTTAAAGAGGATAATAGTGTCTGGTTATATTTTACAGTTTGGATGTTGTCTCTGATTTTGATTGATAAATGTGTATTTCTAACAGTATAGGTAAAGCTGTGCGTTGTAGATAGCTTTATCGATTTGGTAAATAATTAGTAATAAAATATGAATTAAGTTTTTTTTTAAACAATGTTCTCAGTTACCATAACTTGAAGGGATACCCTTGAAACATAACAGTAAGGCTTTAACAATAAAATTTGTCTTTCATCACAGTGGAAAGACTTGAATCCTTGAATGTGTTCCAAAATTACCATCAGACATGTTTTTTTCTGCCATTCATAAGCTAAGCATACTTGATCTGCGGATTACTTTTTTATTGAGATGGATTGCAGGGATTGACTTTTAAACTAACTCTATTACTTAAGATTGACACAAAGTAGGAGGAGGCAGGGCAGCAATAAATGTTTTAATTTTCTCTGTTGAGATCTGCTGTTATTTCCAGTTTTGTGGAGAAAATTTCTGGATTTTATCACTGTTCCCAGAAGCCTCATGTAATCCCGTAGAACAAGACTGTCTAGAACATCTACCACAGTTTTCTGTAGAAAACAGTCATAATGCTTTCAAGCTATTTTTAAAAAGTTTTCAAGCAAATTTCTCAGTGCTATGCACAGGAAGGGAATTCAGCAGAAACCTCCAGTTATATCAGTCAAAGACTGGGTTTTTTTTTGCCTCACTTTTACAGTCTAAAAAGTCCATTCCCCTTAGTGTTGCTGCCATACAAAGAGGAGGGGTAGCCTCGGAGAAACATGATGCCCCTAGTCCTGAGGAGCAGATTGCTCTCCTCTACCAAGACCAGCCTGCTTGCCCAGGGGAGATGCACACACTGTGATCGGTAAGGTTCAAGTTGCTCTGAAGCGTATATAGACCCTGAGGTTTCAGTTTACAGCAGATACCTGTTCGGCTATAAAACCAAATGTGAAAGGGTGCTTTCCTCTCAGCTCCAAAGTTTTGAGTTCTTGAGAGTATTAGAGTCAACAGAATCTGAGGGCCATCAGCATTTTATGGACCTCAGAAATATTCTTTGCTAAAAAGATACTTTTCTGGATGCCATGTGGTCAAAACACATACTCCCTCCAAAAACGTGTGTCCACTCTTGGGTGGAAAAACCTGTCAGGCTACTGTTACCCTGTCTGATATTAAGTACCTCGCAAGACTAGGTCCAAACATGTACTGCGCAAGTGACTTAGAAAAATAATAAACTCTTAAGTCATTTAAAGCAGGTCTTCATATATTGTGAGAATAGAGAAGGGGGGGAGGAAAAAAGAGAAGCTATGTGCACTGTTTACAGGTCAATTTAATATGGTTGGCTTGTATTAGCAATGTATTTAAACATTGTTTGGGTTATGAGTCTTCCTGCTGCTCAATCTTTTCTGTAAATTGACTGACTAACTTAGAATGGATTTGTTCATTTTTGAGTCCTTAGCGCTGTCATTTTTGGGTATACGGTGATGTGCTGGAATGTATTGACTATGTCTAAATGGACTAGATGTGAGCAATTTTCTATTTGAAAAAATAAAATTATGTCTCTCTCTCTGAAGTCCCTGCATCATTTCCATTGCAATTTCTCTGCACTGACATCTACAAGGTAATAATGTGTGTCTAGGAAAGATCTATACATAAGAAATTATATCAGTTTCTTAGTTCATATACTGGCAAGTAAATCACACCATCTTGCAGTTCACAGATTCATTTTATAGTTTAGGAATAATGACACCCTGAAGTTAGAGGGCATTTGACTCTACCTTTAACACAAGAGGTTGCAAACTGCATGAGATCAACAACTTCCTCACATTCTTACATAGGAAGTCACCACCTAATTTCCCTAGGCATGACATACAAATTATAACAGCTCCTTGAAGGAAAAGTGTCACTGCATGGGACACTAAGAATTAGTGATCAAAACCTTAATTGCCAATTTTCAAATTCCACTAACTTCACCTCTATCAGGTCATCTTGGTTTGTTGCTTTCTGCCAGTAGGAGAGGCTTACAGAGCAAGACAACGTGCTGCTTGAGATGAGAGAAGTGGATAAGCAAGATTTGGGCTTATGCTAGTGCCTGCATTGTTGTCCCCTGCTCAATGACTCCGAACTGTTTGATAGTTCTCTTCAGGGGACAGATGGACAGCTGCTCCTCTTCAGAGGGCAAGGTAATTTTTGACATATTTGGACTGAGGTTTTCCTTCTATTGTCATGCCCTTCCATCTTGTGTGCCTCAGAGGCAGGTGGGCATGGTGCTGACTCCTCTAACACCACACTTAAGTTCTCAGGACTGCACAGGAATTACCTGCCTGCTGGGTTTATTGGAAGTGATATGTCAAACTTCTATCCATGTTCAAAACCTTGCAGCCACATTGACTTCTCGGCCAACTGGTCAACAGCTGGAGGACTTGGCTGGCCCAGGAGCAGGATGTGAGTAAAAATGCCACCATAGGAATTTACTGAAGATCCCTCAGGAAAATGATTTTGTAAGCCTTTATTTGACTCAAGATCAATCCATTTGCCCCCGAGGTAAAGGAATGTCTCACTGATTTTTAGGGTGTTTGGCCAGGTTTCTCCAGGCACAGGCCACAAACTTAGAGCTCTTGCGCTTTGAAACCTATGCTTTTTAGCCCAATGCATATCTGATTTCAACTAAGAATTTCACTTCAGTTTAGTAGACTCTTTCCAGAAAGATATATTCTGTTTTCTTTCTTGCTTGAGCAAGTATCAAGATGTGGCTTAGCAGGCTGGAGATTCCGTACCTTTTAAGACTTTGCTACTGTTAAGATCTAAAGCTGTCTCTGCTGGGTTTTGCATGGGCCATACAGTTTTTGCATAGTTTAGGACCATGGGTTTGCCATGTTAGCATGCAAATACTATCCCTGCAGTCTTCCTGCCATCTCATGACCCTAGATCCTGGCAAATACTTCACGATGAGTAGGGTGTTTGCTGGATTTCACCCAAATCTCTTTGCCTAAAATTTATGAACAAATTGTGGTTTCTTCTGTTGGTTCCAATGAACTATGAAAAGAGATCTGGTGGCCCTGTGTGCCAGCAATGCACTTGCTGGAATATTCATGTAACACAGATGTACAAAATTACAGGCACAAGTGAAGCTTATTAAGAAAAAAATCATATTTTTTTTTTCTAAAACTATCTCGAGAAGGCCTGATGTAAATGCAAGTAAACTTGGCCCAGTATTTATAAATAACTGATTGATGAAACATGTTATCAGAAGCATTAAATAGCAGGATGATGTTCTCATCTTACTGAAAAGTTTAAAGCCCACTTTCTTTCCTTTGAAACTTTGCAAACAATTAATCTCTGTGACTGTATACAACATATTTTGTCTTTCATGTACATTTTTCCTTATTGCATCTTAGTCTACCTTTTTTGCTCCTTGGTGTA